TTTGAAACCATTACTATTGAAAATCAACACAAATGGTGAATATGGGCCTGAAGTGATGTCATGAACGTTCCTCACACTCCAGCACAGTTCTGCTGTTACACTCAAACTCAGCCGTCTGATGACCACACTGATGTGTGTGTGTGTGTGTGTGTGTGTGTGTCATCCATTAATATCGTCTCTGACGCTTCAAGCCTTCTCACGCCTCTGATGTTCTGTCCGTCGATCATGACATTATAAACTCTGACGATGATGATGATGATGATGATGATGATGATGATGATGACGATGATGATGACGATGATGATGATGCACATTGTGACATCTTTACATCTGTTTGATTTCATGTCTTGAGTCTGTTTGTGATGTTTGAGATGTTTGAGATGTTTGAGATGTTTGAGATGTTTGAGATGTTTGTGATGTTTGAGATGTTTGAGATGTTTGTGATGTTTGAGATGTTTGAGATGTTTGAGATGTTTGTGATGGTGCTGATCTCCAAGCGAGTGTGTGGACAGATTCAGCATGACGAGAGCTCTGTGTTTCAGGAGGATGCTGGGATAGCGATGGACATAAACAATCCTATTAAGAGCTGTTAACACACACACACACCAGCGCGCGGATCAGGAGACACACGAGAGCTCGGTACTAACGAGTGCTAAACTGACTGTCATACACCAATCACTCATTAAAGGTGTGTTTAATCAGCCCAACACACTGAACCTGTAGTGTGTGTCTGTCATCCATTACAACTGAACACACACACCCTCACACACCTCTCTCTCTCTCTCACACACACCCTCTCTCTCTCTCTCTCTCTCTCACACACACACCCTCACCCTCACCCTCTCTCTCTCTCTCTCTCTCTCTCTCTCTCTCTCTCTCTCTCTCTCTCTCTCTCTCTCTCTCTCTCAGTGTTTCCTCTAGGATTTTTTCCAGCCGTGGTGGCAGGGGGAGGGGGCGTGGCCCATGAGTGATATTCCATTGGCCACGCCCCTTATCCCAGGTGTTTAAACCTCCCCTAAGCAGTATAACATGAAAGGCTCCAATAAGAGCGGCAAAGCGATTATGCGCATCGCGTGCGCAGAGTGATGCACTTGAAGCAACGCGAAGTCACAGCGCAGCACTTCGCATTGAAAAGTTCAAAGCACAAACCCAAGAGAATATATCTATCTGTGCTTAATGTATTATATCTATGCAACAGTTTATTGAGCCTTTTCTTTTAACAGTTTTAAATTTCAGTTAACTTACAGTGCGCATGAAGAACAGTTCATAGTGCTCTCTACTCTAGTGCTGTGGTAACAGACACCCGGGAGAAGGGAATATGATTTAGAAAGCGCTATAAACTCCAGCAAGATAGTAATTTTATGCAAACTATAGACCTTTATCTACAAATAAAGTATAATAATGGGAACATTGATCTTGAAGAGAGTGTCGTCGTGTTACTGTCGTACCCGAACGTGACGCGCTGTTTGAATGCTGAATGGAGAATGACTGAGGAGAGATGAGTTTCCATTAACTTTAACTTAACGACTTAAATATACATTTTTACCTCACATTATGCTATTGAATGACTTTAGAAGTCTTGGAATATAGTGTGAAAACTCTATGGTGCTTTACAATGTTTTGCATGCCTTTAGTGGGGCTTAACAATAACACATACAATATCGGACCGAGAAGCTGCAGCCGTGGCGGGATGATTTTAGGTGTGGCGGCGCGCCATGGCAGAATGAATGTAGCGGAAACACTGCACTCTCTCTCTCTCTCTCTCTCTCTCTCTCTCTCTCTCTCTCTCTCTCACACACACTCACACACAAACTCTCTCTCTCTCTCTTTCTCACACACAAACTCTCTCTCTCTCTCTCTCTCACACACACACACTCACACACAAACTCTCTCTCTCTCTCTCTCTCACACACACACACTCACACACAAACTCTCTCTCTCTCTCTCTCTCACACACACACACTCACACACAAACTCTCTCTCTCTCTCTTCTCACACACACACCACTCTCTCTCTCTCTCTGTCACTCACACACACTCACACACAAACTCTCTCTCTCTCTCTTTCTCACACACACACTCTCTCTCTCTCTCTCACTCACACACACTCACACACAAACTCTTTCTCTCTCTCTTTCTCACACACACACTCTCTCTCTCTCTCTCACTCACACACACACTACCCCTAAACCTACCCATCACACACACCCTCACACACTAACCCGACCCCTAAACCTACCCATCACACACACACACACACACACTATAATCTGAACTGCTGTACTGTGTGGATTACTGTAGTTTCAGAGCACGGCCTGAGAGCAGAACAGTGGATTACAGTACGGCTCGTTCACTGAGTGAGTTCTGGAGAAGTAGAAGATCATTAACAACAGCACAGGACTATCAGTGGGTCAAACACTCGGACCTTCAGACTCGGACCTTCAGACTCGGACCTTCAGACTCGGACCTTCAGACTTTCAGACCTTCAGATTTTCAGACCTTCAGACTTTCAGACTCAGAACTTCAGGCCCCGTCCACACTACTGCGTTTTCGTTTAAAAACGGAGACCTTTTGCTACGTTTGCTCCTCCCGTCCACACTAAAACGGCAAAAACGGAGACCCAAAACGGAGAAGTTTAGAAACGCTGCCGATCCGTTTTTCGTTTTGAATCTCCGGAGGGCGTTTTAGTGTGGACGGGTCAAAACGGAGAACTTAAGAAACGATGACGTAGTAGAGGCTCACGCTCGGCTCTATGATTGGGTGTCATCAGTCATGGCGTATAGCTTTGCTAGCAGCTGTTGTACAAGTAAATTCTGCATTACAACGCTAACGGCCTACATGCGCCGGAGTCAAGCTATTATTCCAGCGATCTGTGACGATTCCCGTGTGCAGCGGCGGCGTTGACTGTACATGAGCGTCGGTTTGGGGTTAACCCAGAGCATGCTGGGATAATTTTATCAATGAAGTTGTGTTTACACCGGCACGCGCGTGCCCAGTGTTGGTGAATGGTCACATGATCCGCGTTTTCAGTCGTTTTAATGTGGACGGAGATCAATTCTAATGCGCAGCTAAAACGCTGGTGTGGACGGAGATCGTATTCGTTTTAATTATCCGTTTCTAAACAAAAACGCAGTAGTGTGGATGGGGCCTCAGACTCAGACCTTCAGACTCAGACCCTTGCAGACCCCAGCCTGACTCCTCTAGTGTGTAACCGGCCACAGGCTGGACTCTGAGCACTGGACACCGCAGCTACTGAGACTATAGTGCTTACAGTCACAGGAGTGATTCAGCGCTTTATACACATGTTCTTCTGTCCTGCTGGGGACTTAAACATGAACACACACACACCCTCACACATGGGGACCGAAAGTGAGGAAACACGCTTTTAAATCATACAGAATTAGTTTTTTTGGAAAATATAAAAATGCAGAGGGTTTTGTGTGATGGGTAGTGTGTGTGTAGGTTTAGGGGTTTTGTGTGTGTGTGTGTGTGTGTGTGTGTGTGTGTGTGTGTGTGTGTGTGTGTGTGAGAGAGAGAGAGAGAGAGAGAGAGAGAGAGAGACAGAGAGAGAGAGAGAGAGAGAGAGAGAGAGAGAGAGAGAGAGAGAGAGAGAGAGAGAGAGTAAATGTAAACAGATGAAGCCCGTTATATAGAGTCAAGCTCCAGTTCTCATTATAACCGCATTAAGCGCCAGATTTACAGCAGACATCAATACAGGAGAGTTAGTCTAGATAGTGATATCATCATATATATATATATGTATATATCTCCGACAGAGAGCTAAACTCACCCATGTCAGGAGACTCTCGCACAGCTCGACCCGGTCCACAGTCTCCGGCGCGCTCATGTTCGCTCGGACTCAACTGATGTTTAATCGCGCGAATCTCCGGGGGAATATATATATATAATGAGTGCCTGTGCGATTAATGTCCGATTATGAGAGAAATCCTGTCGAATTGAAGTGTCGAAATGTGATTTAGCTGAATAAAGCGGCGGTGACAGACACACATTAGCGGATTCTCCCTCAGACACACGGGGTCCTTCAGCTGCCACCCAGCACGATCGGGACACCTAATGCCTGAAGGGAAATCACGCTGAAGAAAACTGCTTTCGTGACGAGATGGATTAAAACGGAGAATAGTTATTTTAAAATATGAAAAATAGTAGGATTAGAAAATCGCGCACAATAACACTTGAAGTGAGACAGGCAGTGAAACGGACCGCTTTTAATACGGTGATGACGAATGCGGAACTTTGCGACAGGCGGCGGCGCTCGAGCGCTCACGACAGCCGAAGGAAGGACCCCTGAAGGAGGAATGCGGAACTGATTCCGCCCATAGCACAAACACAAACACACACACACACACACACTAAACAGTTTTCTTTGCGAAAGTGTGTTTGAGGCCTGAAACTGGGGAGTGTTTTCTCATGTAAGTGTTTGAACAGCAGCCATTGACGGTGTGTCTGTGTCTGTGTGTGTGAGAGAGACAGAGAGAGAGAGAGAGAGAGAGAGAGAGAGAGAGAGAGAGAGAGAGAGAGAGAGAGAGAGAGAGAGAGAGAGATAGATAGAGTGTGTGTGTGTGTGTGTGTGTGTGTGTGTGTCTGTGTGTGTGTGTGTGTGTGTGTGAGAGAGAGAGAGAGAGAGAGTGAGATAGAGAGATAAAGAGTGTGTGTGTGAGAGAATGTGTGTGTGTGTGAGAGAGAGAGAGAGAGAGAGGGTGTGTGTGAGAATGAGAGAGGGTGTGTGTGAGAGAGTTAGTGTGTGTGTGTGTGAGTGAGAGAGTATATGTGTGTGTGTGTGAGAGAGTGATAGAGAGAGAGAGAGAGTGTGTGTGTTGTTGTGACATTGTGTTGTGATATATTGTGTTGTGTTGTGTTGTACACAGAGCGGGGGGATATGAGCAGGCGTAATGGAAGCCAGCGAGTGTTTGTGTTGTTGTGTTGTGTTGTGATATACTTGTGTTGTGTTGTACACAGAGCGGGGGGATATGAGCAGGCGTAATGGAAGCCAGCGAGTGTTTGGACGGTTCTCTTGTTCCAGAGGAAGATTCGCTCATTGAAGGCGTGAGTGACCCGGTTCTGCTGGTTCTGGTGCTCAGCGTGACCTTTCTGCTCGGCCTGGTGACGCTGCTCTGCAGGTGAGACGACCCCTGACCTCTGACCCCACACCAGATCACTCATACTCACACTCACACACGATACGATCTCGTCTCTCAGGAACGAGCAGCAGCGGATCCACCCGGAGAACCAGGAGCATGTGCGTGTGGTGCGAGAACAGCTTCAGTCCGAGCAGGTGTGTGTGTGTGTGTGTGTGTAGAGGAACATTATCACCTGTGTTTATCACATCAGGGTTTGTTCTCAGCTGATCAGCAGTGTTGGGGAAAGTTACTTTGAAAAGTAATGCGTTACAATATTGCGTTACTCCCTTAAAAGGTAACTAATTGCGTGACTTAGTCACTTTTTTAGAAAAGTAATGCGTTACAATATTGCGTTACTCCCTTAAAAGGTAACTAATTGCGTGACTAAGTTACTTTTTTAGAAAAGTAATGCGTTACAATATTGCGTTACTCCCTTAAAAGGTAACTAATTGCGTGACTTAGTCACTTTTTTAGAAAAGTAATGCGTTACAATATTGCGTTACTCCCTTAAAAGGTAACTAATTGCGTGACTTAGTTACTTTTTTAGAAAAGTAATGCGTTACAAGATTGCGTTACTCCCTTAAAAGGTAACTAATTGTGTTACTTAGTTACTTTTTTAGAAAAGTAATGCGTTACAATATTGCGTTACTCCCTTAAAAGGTAACTAATTGCGTGACTTAGTTACTTTTTTAGAAAAGTAATGCGTTACAATATTGCGTTACTCCCTTAAAAGGTAACTAATTGCGTTACTTAGTTACTTTTTTAGAAAAGTAATGCGTTACAATATTGCGTTACTCCCTTAAAAGGTAACTAATTGCGTGACTTAGTTACTTTTTTAGAAAAGAAATGCGTTACAATATTGCGTTACTCCCTTAAAAGGTAACTAATTGCGTGACTTAAGTTACTTTTTTAGAAAACTAATGCGTTACAATATTGCGTTACTCCCTTAAAAGGTAACTAATTGTGTTACTTTTTTAGAAAAGTAATGCGTTACGATATTGCGTTACTCCCTTAAAAAGTAACTAATTGCGTGACTTAGTTACTTTTAAAGAAAAGTAATTCGTTACAATATTGCGTTACTCCCTTAAAAGGTAACTAATTGCGTGACTTAGTCAAGTCAAGTCATCTTCATTTATATAGCGCTTTTAACAATGAATTGTTTCAAAGCAGCTTTACAGAGATAAACATATAATTTAAGGTAACAGATTGTTTTGGCGTTATAGCGGTTCTTGAATAATGTTACTTCCAGCTAAAGTTAACTTTGATTGATTCACCTCCGTCGAAATGATCAGACTTTAAACGCGAACCTGTGATTAACGCTGACGGCGTTCACATGCTCATTCAGAATTCTATAGTTATGTGCTTTTTAAAATATGTGCGCAGGTTTGTAATTCATACAACCCAGCCTAAACAAACTACTTTTCTTGCCTATAAATTTTGATACAGAATTTTGTTTTATTTTATCACTTCGGGGTACGCGAGCCGGAATTCACAACGCTTTATCTGTAGAGTGGGAAAGGGATCCTCCATAGGGAGAGGATAGTGGATACTTCAGCACTGCATTGTCATCGGGTCCAGGCGAATCTCCTTCGTCAGATCTGGACACGGCCTGGATCCGGCAGGCTGCGGGAAAACCTCGGGATAAACAAAGACACTAAAGTTAGCGTAGATGCCATTCTTCTTATGATGTAGCGAGTACATCTGGATTTAAGGGAAGTGTTCCCAGTTCCGGCTGACCTAGTCTATGCAGCCTAACATTGAATTATCGAAGTCTATAATGTATTATGTGTATGCTAGGTCAAAGAGATGTGTTTTTAGTCTAGCTTTGAACTGACAGAGTGTGTCTGCTTCCTGGACAATGGTAGGAAGACTGTTCCAAAGTTTTGGTGCTAAATAGGAGAAGGATCTCCCGCCTGCAGTCGATTTAGATATTCTAGGTATTATCAACTGGCCGGAGTTTTGAGATCGCAATAGACGTGAAGGACTATAATGCGTTAAGAGCTCACTCAAGTACTGCGGAGCTAAACCATTTAGTGCTTTGTAGGTAATCAACAATATTTTAAAATTTATACGATGTTTAATAGGGAGCCAATGCAGTGTTGACAGAACCGGGCTAATATGGTCATATTTCCTGGTTCTGGTAATAACTCGAGCTGCGGCGTTTTGAACTAGCTGGAGTTTGTTTATTAAGCGTGCAGGGCAACCACCCAGTAGAGCATTACAGTAATCTAGCCTTGAGGTCATGAACGCATGGACTAATTGTTCCACATTCGTCAATGAGAGCATATGGCGTAATTTAGATATATTTTTAAGATGGAAAAATGCAGTTTTACAGATACTAGACACGTGGCTTTCAAAAGAAAGGTTGGTATCAAATAGCACACCCAGGTTCCTAACCGACGACGAAGACTTGACAGAGCAGCCATTAAGTGTTAGACAGTATTCTGGGTTATTACGTGTGGAAGTTTTTTGTCCAATAATTAGAATCTCTGTCTTTTCAGAATTTAGTAGTAGGAAATTACTAGTCATCCAATTTTTTATATCAGCTATGCATTCCGTTAATTTTGTGAATTGGTAAGTTTCGTTGGGTTTGAAGAAATATACAGCTGAGTATCATCGGCATAACAGTGAAAGCTAACTCCATGTTTCCTAATGATATCTCCTAATGGTAGCATGTACAGAGTGAACAGCAGCGGTCCTAGTACTGAGCCTTGTGGTACGCCATACTGAACTTGTGATCGATAAGACATATCTTCATTTACTGCTACAAACTGATAACGGTCAGATAAGTGTGATTTAAACCATGCTAATGCAATTCCACTAATGCCAACATAGTTTTCTAGTCTATTTAATAGAATGTTGTGGTCAATAGCCGCGTTTCCACTGCCGGGCCAGGGCCGGGCCGTGCTAGTGCGTGCCAGGGCCAGTTGCGTTTCCACTGTCACTTCCGGGGCTTGATCGGGGCTTACTCGGGGCCAACGGCCAGGATTTCTGGCCCGTCGAATACCTTGGGCCAAAGCGGGCCAGCTCGGGCTAGAGGAGTGGTTACGAACAGAGGAGGGGATTACCTGAGTCGAGAGACAGGAGCGCCGAATGATTCTGTCAGCATTAAAGACTTTTAAAATAATTTAACTCACTTTCATGTTTTAATGCCTTCTGTTTGTGATCCGATGTGGATTCTGATCACCGTATAAGGTAGAAATATTTATACGCGATGCAAAAGACTATGCGCGCTAACCATTAATATAGTAAACATAGTAAACGCTTGAAGATACGCATAGTAAAAAAAAATGTTGAACGCTTGAAGAAGTCAAACCAATCATAAAGGCTATCACAATCGTGTTTTTATTTTATCTGTCAGTAGCCTACATATACTACATAGTAGTCTCTTTATACCGGACTATCTACTTTTTTTCGGGAGCTTCTGTTTCTCTGACTGAAAATATATCTGTAAGTTAGCTACTGGGAGTCGAGACTGTGCTAACGCTCCTCAGGTCGTATTTTTGGTGGCATATAACATTATTTGTAGAAATTATCATTCTTTCTAAATGTGATATATGTCCTGTAACTACCAAATAAACAGAAACTGCCTCGACTGAATAATGTAAGTGTGTCCTCTTTCTTTTGTTAAATAGACCTAACGGTCATTTATTTCTGTGTGACTAATGTGCAATTTTGACATAAATTAATTCATTATGATCAATGTATCACTTTTTATTGTAAACCTGTGGTAAAACATCGATGCTTGGGTTTTAAATATTCAAGTAAACAACAAAAATGCCAGCAAACGGCCGCTTTTTTTATGTTTGTTTTTTCGATGCACGCTGTTTCCAGTGATTTCTTTCTGATTAGTTTTCTGATAAAACTTCCATTTGTTGGTGAAATGATGGGTTTAGTGTGACGTTGTTCCAGAGAGGCGTGTTGCGGGCGTGTTTTAGTGACGCGCTGTGGAGCTTCTGGCCCGACAGTGGAAACGCAGGCCAGGTGCTACTGGCCCGAGGCTATTAGCCCGGCACGGCCCGTTTAAAGCCCTGGCCTAGCACTGGCCCGACAGTGGAAACGCGGATCATGGTGTCAAATGCAGCACTAAGATCGAGTAACACTAATAGAGAGATACAACCACGATCGGATGATAAGAGCAGATCATGTGTGACTCTAATGAGAGCGGTCTCAGTGCTATGGAACGGTCTAAATCCAGACTGAAAATCCTCCAGATATCATTTCTTTCTAGAAAGAAACACAGTTGTGAAGATACTGCTTTTTCTAATATCTTTGATAGAAAAGGCAGATTCGAGATCGGCCTGTAATTGACTAATTCTGTAGGATCAAGTTGTGGTTTTTTAACAAGCGGTTTTATCATAGCCAGTTTAAAGGTTTTTGGTACGTATCCCTAGAGACAAAGATGAATAATGATATTAAGAAGAGGATATATGACCTCTGGAAACATCTCTTTCAGTAGCTTAGTCGGTATAGGGTCTAACATACAAGTTGTCGATTTAGATGAATTAACGAGTTTGCAGAATTCTTCCTCTCCTATAGCAACAAATAAATAAAATTTTTCCTCAGGGAGACTACAATGCACTGTCTGATGCGATACTGTGGTAGACGGTTGCATAGTTATAATTTTGTCCCTGATATTATCAATCTTATAAGTGAAGAAGTTCATAAAGTCATCACTGCCGTGTTGCTTTGACACTTCTGAGCTTGAAGCTTTCTTTTTCGTTAGTTTAGCCACTGTTTCAAATAAATACCTAGGATTATGTTTATTTTCTTCTAAGTTTGAAAAATAAGCAGATCTAGCAGCTTTTAAAGCCTCTCTGTAAGCAATCGAGCTCTTAGTTACTTTTTTAGAAAAGTAATGCGTTACAATATTGGGTTACTCCTTAAAAGGTAACTAATTGCGTTACGTAGTTACTTTTTTAGAAAAGTAATGCGTTAACGTTACTTTTGTGTGTGGTGTGTGTGTGTGTGTGTGTGTGTGCAGTGCAGGGCTCGTCCGCGGAGTCGAGGCATCAGTTCTACTCGGACATGCGTGTCCCGTGTGTCTCCAGCAAGCGGTTCTGCCCGTCGAGACCAACTGTGGGCATCTCTTCTGCGGTGAGCACCAGTTCACACCAGTTTACACCAGTTCACATGCACAGCTTCTGCTTCAGCTGCACTGAACTCACGCCGATTGATGAATCTGATGTAGTGTTAGCATGAGCGCTGAACATGTGATCGGGTCGATGTGTGTGTTTATACGTCACACGTTTGACATGCGCTCACTGCACGAATATACAGAGTTTCCGATGTCTGCACATAATAACCATTCTCATACAGTTCTTTATTTGTTTTAAACAGCAGACTTAATATTTATCCATTTTCTGTCATAATTAGGAGATAATGATCATATGAGCCGCTGTGCCGCTGCTTATATTGATCACGCAGAACTAATGCCCAAACCAGTGGTGTGTGTGTGAGAGTCTGAAGCGGCACTGGCGGACGTCGTCCTGCTCCACTTCACACACACACACACGCAGAAAACGAGGATTATAGGATGAGCTCGTTTATACGACACTTTATTCACAGAAGAACAGCTCGTTCAGCGCGTCACACGCCATTACGCAATTACTACATCATTACGCTATTTCTACGTCATTACGCTATTTCTACGTCATTACGTTATTTCTACATCATTACGCTATTTCTACGTCATTACGCTATTTCTACGTCATTATGCTATTTCTACATCATTACGCTATTTCTACGTCATTACGCTATTTCTACGTCATTATGCTATTTCTACGTCATTACGCTATTTCTACGTCATTACGCTATTTCTACGTCATTACGCTATTTCTACGTCATTACGCTATTTCTACGTCATTATGCTATTTCTACGTCATTACGCTATTTCTACGTCATTATGCTATTTCTACGTCATTACGCTATTTCTACATCATTACGCTATTCATACATCATTACGCTATTTCTACATCATTACGCTATTTCTACATCATTACGCTATTTTCTACATCATAACGCTATTTCTACATCATTACGCTATTTCTACATCATTACGCTATTTCTACGTCATTACGCTATTTCTACATCATTATGCTATTTCTACATCATTATGCTATTTCTACGTCATTGCGCTATTTCTACGTCATACGCTATTTCTACGTCATTATGCTATTTCTACGTCATTACGCTATTTCTACATCATTACGCTATTCATACATCATTACGCTATTTCTACGTCATTATGCTATTTCTACGTCATTACGCTATTTCTACATCATTACGCTATCATACATCATTACGCTATTTCTACGTCATTATGCTATTTCTACGTCATTACGCTATTTCTACGTCATTACGCTATTTCTACGTCATTACGCTATTTCTACGTCATTATGCTATTTCTACGTCATTACGCTATTTCTACGTCATTACGCTATTTCTACGTCATTACGCTATTTCTACGTCATTACGCTATTTCTACGTCATTACGCTATTTCTACATCATTACGCTATCTTACATCATTACGCTATTCATACATCATTACGCTATTTCTACATCATTACGCTATTTCTACATCATTACGCTATTTCTACGTCATTACGCTATTTCTACATCATTACGCTATTTCTACGTCATTATGCTATTTCTACGTCATTACGCTATTTCTACGTCATTACGCTATTCATACATCATTACGCTATTTCTACGTCATTACGCTATTTCTACATCATTACGCTATTTCTACGTCATTACGCTATTCATACATCATTACGCTATTCTACATCATTACGCTATTTCTACATCATTACGCTATTTCTACATCATTACGCTATTTCTAGGTCATTACGCTATTTCTACGTCATTACGCTATTTCTACGTCATTACGCTATTTCTACATCATTATGCTATTTCTACATCATTACGCTATTTCTACATCATTATGCTATTTCTACATCATTACGCTATTTCTACATCATTATGCTATTTCTACATCATTACGCTATTTCTACATCATTACGCTATTTTCTACGTCATTACGCTCTATTTCTACGTCATTACGCTATTTCTACATCATTATGCTATTTCTACATCATTACGCTATTTCTACGTCATTACGCTATTTCTACGTCATTACGCTATTTCTACATCATTATGCTATTTCTACATCATTACGCTATTTCTACATCATTACGCTATTTCTACGTCATTACGCTATTTCTACGTCATTACGCTATTTCTACATCATTACGCTATTTCTACATCATTACGCTATTTCTACGTCATTATGCTATTTCTACGTCATTACGCTATTTCTACATCATTACGCTATTCATACATCATTACGCTATTTCTACGTCATTACGCTATTTCTACATCATTACGCTATTTCTACGTCATTACGCTATTCATACATCATACGCTATTTCTACATCATTACGCTATTTCTACCATCATTACGCTATTTCTACATCATTACGCTATTTCTAGGTCATTACGCTATTTCTACGTCATTACGCTATTTCTACGTCATTACGCTATTTCTACATCATTATGCTATTTCTACATCATTACGCTATTTCTACATCATTATGCTATTTCTACATCATTACGCTATTTCTACATCATTATGCTATTTCTACATCATTACGCTATTTCTACATCATTACGCTATTTCTACGTCATTACGCTATTTCTACGTCATTACGCTATTTCTACATCATATGCTATTTCTACATCATTACGCTATTTCTACGTCATTATGTAGAAATCATCGGGTCGATTAAGGCGGATACATGAAGGCTTTCAGTGCGATTGAGCCGTCAGTCCCATTACTAATGGATTATTTGGTTGCATGTAAGCGCATGTGAGCCGATCGAGCTGCTGAAACGTGTGTGTGTGTGTGTGTGTCTTGTATCCGCAGGTCCGTGTATCGTGGCGTACTGGCGTTACGGAGCGTGGCTCGGCGCCATCAACTGCCCCATCTGCAGGCAAATGGTGAATCTCAGATCAGACGTGGATCCATGATTTGTATGATCTGTTAGTCTCAGTCCTGCGCTGCATCAGTGACTTAAAGCATAATCAGGGTTTGAAATGAACCTTTTCACTCTCTGGCCAATTTGGCTACTAAATGTTTAAGTTACCCGGTCATTCAGAACTTCAACTAGCCAGAAAGAGAAATAGAGAAAAGAAATTAACTACGTTACAGTTTATATATTATAAATGTGTTATTTTTAAATCCTGTCATCCACCTCTTCCTCTTCCTCATTCATCCTCATCCTCTTCGCCAAAGCTGTGTTTAGATGGACAGATCAAGACAGGACAAAGAACATAGAAAAAATGTAGGATGTTTGAGAATAACGATGTGTTTTCTGTTCACCAAACGCTGAGTCTCCGCTTCGCTTCAGTGCACATGAAGGAGCGCGCCGTTAGCTGTAGCGCAGCGACGTGTAGCGCAGCGGACGTGTGTGTTCCAGCGACGTGTAGCGCAGCGACGTGTAGCGCAGCGACGTAGTGCGTGTTCCAGCGACGTGTAGTGCAGCGACGTGTGTGTTCCAGCGACGTGTAGCGCAGCGACGTGTGTTCCAGCGACGTGTAGCGCAGCGACGTGTGTGTTCCAGCGACGTGTAGCGCAGCGACGTGTGTGTTCCAGCGACGTGTAGCGCAGCGACGTGTGTGTTCAGCGACGTGTAGCGCAGCGACGTGTGTGTTCCAGCGACGTGTAGCGCAGCGACCGTGTGTTCCAGCGACGTGTAGCGCAGCGACGTGTGTGTTCCAGCGACGTGTAGCGCAGCGACGTGTGTGTTCCAGCGACGTGTAGCGCAGCGGACGTTGTGTGTTCCAGCGACGTGTAGCGCAGCGACGTGTAGCGCAGCGACGTGTGTGTTCCAGCGACGTGTAGCGCAGCGACGTGTGTGTTCCAGCGACATGTAGCGCAGCGACGTGTGTGTTCCAGCGACGTGTAGCGCAGCGACGTGTGTGTTCCAGCGACGTGTAGCGCAGCGACGTGTAGCGCAGCGACGTGTGTGTTCCAGCGACGTGTAGCGCAGCGACGTGTAGCGCAGCGACGTGTGTGTTCCAGCGACGTGTAGCGCAGCGACGTGTAGCGCAGCGACGTGTAGCGCAGCGACGTGTAGCGCAGCGACGTGTGTGTTCCAGCGACGTGTAGCGCAGCGGACGTGTGTGTTCAGCGACGTGTGTGTTCCAGCGACGTGTGTGTTCAGCGACGTGTAGCGCAGCGACGTGTGTGTTCCAGCGACGTGTAGCGCAGCGACGTCTGTAGCGCAGCGCCGTGTGTGTTCCAGCGACGTGTAGCGCTAGCGACGTGTAGCGCAGCGACGTGTAGCGCAGCGACGTGTGTGTTCCAGCGACGTGTAGCGCAGCGACGTGTGTGTTCCAGCGACGTGTGTGTCCAGCGACGTGTAGCGCAGCGACGTGTGTGTTCCAGCGACGTGTAGCGCAGCGACGTGTAGCGCAGCGATGTTGTGGTGTTCCAGCGACGTGTAGCGCAGCGACGTGTAGCGCAGCGACGTGTAGCGCAGCGACGTGTAGCGCAGCGACGTGTAGCGCAGCGACGTGTGTGTTCCAGCGACGTGTGTGTTCCAGCGACGTGTAGCGCAGCGACGTGTAGCGCAGCGACGTGTGTTCCAGCGACGTGTAGCGCAGCGACGTGATGTGTTCCAGCGACGTGTAGCGTAGCGACGTGTGTGTTCCAGCGACGTGTAGCGCAGCGACGTGTGTTCCAGCGACGTGTAGCGCAGCGACGTGCCAGCGACGTGTAGCGCAGCGACGTGTAGCCAGCGACGTGTAGCGCAGCGACGTGTGTGTTCTCCAGCGACGTGTGTGTTCCAGCGACGTTGTAGCGCAGCGACGTGTAGCGCAGCGACGTGTGTTCCAGCGACGTGTAGCGCAGCGACGTGTGTGTTCCAGCGACGTGTAGCGTAGCGACGTGTAGCGTAGCGAGTGTGTGTTCCAGCGACGTGTAGCGCAGCGACGTGTGTGTTCCAGCGACGTGTAGCGCAGCGAAGTGTGTGTTCCAGCGACGTGTAGCGCAGCGACGTGTGTGTTCCAGCGACGTGTAGCGCAGCGACGTGTGTGTTCCAGCGACGTGTAGCGCAGCGACGTGTGTGTTCCAGCGACGTGTAGCGTAGCGACGTGTAGCGTAGCGACGTGTGTGTTCCAGCGACGTGTAGCGCAGCGACGTGTGTGTTCAGCGACGTGTAGCGCAGCGACGTGTGTGTTCCAGCGACGTGTAGCGTAGCGACGTGTGTGTTCCAGCGACGTGTAGCGTAGCGACGTGTGTGTTCCAGCGACGTGTAGCGCAGCGACGTGTGTGTTCCAGCGACGTGTAGCGTAGCGACGTGTTGCGTAGCGACGTGTGTGTTCCAGCGACGTGTAGCGCAGCGACGTGTGTGTTCCAGCGACGTGTAGCGCAGCGACGTGTGTGTTCCAGCGACGTGTAGCGCAGCGACGTGTGTGTTCCAGCGACGTGTAGCGTAGCGACGTGTGTGTTCCAGCGACGTGTAGCGTAGCGACGTGTGTGTTCCAGCGACGTGTAGCGCAGCGACGTGTGTGTTCCAGCGACGTGTAGTGCAGCGACGTGTGTGTTCCAGCGACGTGTAGCGCAGCGACGTGTGTGTTCCAGCGACGTGTAGCGCAGCGACGTGTAGCGCAGCGACGTGTGTGTTCCAGCGACGTGTAGCGCAGCGACGTGTGTGTTCCAGCGACGTGTAGCGCAGCGACGTGTGTGTTCCAGCAGAGATGAGCAGCTTCTGCGCTGTGTTTAATATATCAGTGTTACCCGGGTGTTAGCTCTGATCATAACCCTGTCTGTACACCTGTATGAGCCAGATGTGACCCTTGACCTTTATTGGTGTGTCAGGTGACCCTGCTGTTCCCGCTCTTCCACGACGCCGGTCCCGGCGCTGCGACTGCGGACGGGCAAGCGGAACCGGTTCTGATCCTCACAGACATCAGCGATTATAACCGCAGGTTCTCCGGGCAGCCGCGCTCCGTGAGTGGTCATCTTCATCATCATCTTCATCATCATCTTCATCTGATCCGTCTCTGCCAGCGCGCTTTCCCAGATCTTCATTATGACATTAAAACACAAAACTATGACATAAATTTTGATATTATGACCTAAAAAGTTATAATTATGAGATAATAAGTTGAAAGTGTGACATATAAAGTCATAACTTTTATCTCAATTCTGACTATTTAATCTCATAATTGACAAAGTATGCTTTCCCAAAGCATGGTTTACCCTCACCCTTCCCTCGGGTCATTTTGACCCAAAAATATATATTTTTTGAATGTTAAAAACTTGAGTGTTCATCAGAGGGTCCGAGACTCCAGTGCCTGGTTGCATAAAGCACCTTAAGCTTTTCCCTTAAGTATGATACTTAAGGGGCGATTTACCCTTACCTAAGAGAACAACTTAAGGGTGTTGCATATAATCTCTTAAACGGTTCTCTTAGGTAAGGGAAACATTTAAGTGTTTCACGACAGCGATCCTGGATTCACGTTATAAAAGTCTGTTGTTGCCATAGATACGCAAAACACTAACATGTCGGAATATCACGTGTCAGTCCAGTGACGCTATCACGCAACACCGCGTTAGCTCCGAACGTGGCGGCAGTTTGTGTTGTTCACCGTCTCATGCTTTGGCATTTGTTTAGGTTTTGTGAATGCACTTCTGGCTCTGTGTCTCGAAATACAGCTGAGTATATTTCCATAGCATACCTGTTTTCTTCTGTCATGATTCCTTTTAAAACACAGAATCAGCTCGTTCTCCTGTGAACTTTTTGTCGGCCACACACTCTCCGTGCGCGCACTGACTTAACGTTGTGATAGTTTACATGCGAGTCGCGGTGTAATGACAGACAGACAGCCGTCTAGTTTGATAGCGATGTCAAATATTGCGCGTCGATCAAATCGGCATTCTTGCAACAATTTTTCATGGCTAAATTGGTCCAAAGGGTTCTCCCTATTCCCTATGATCTTCAGCTGGTTTCATAAATTCAGCCATGTCGTCTTATATTTGTCCGCGTTACTCTTTAAGGTTACGATGTCCAAACCTTAAGTTATACTTAGGGAAATAACCGTTAAGGGGTTTTATGCAACACTTAACGATTACTTAAGTGAAAAAACAGCATTTAAGGGAAATTCTAAGTGTTTATGACGTTTCACTTAATAAAACCGTTAAGTAACACTTAAGGGTATTTTTCTGCAACACCCTGAGGTTTAAGGGAAACACAAGGGCGACTTTAAGGGAAAATTACACTTAAGGTGCTTTATGCAACCGGGCACTGGGCTTTTGTCGCACTCGAACCACGAATACACAACAACATTTAATGGATTCGAGGAGTTTTGTGTGAACACGGCTGAAGGACTGCATGTGTGTGTGTGTGTGTGTGTGTGTGTGTGTGCAGCTGCTGGACCGGCTCCGGGACGTCCCCACGCTGCTCCGGCACGCCTTCAGGGAGGTGTTCTCGGTGGGAGGCCTGTTCTGGATGTTCCGGCTGCGGATCCTGCTGGTTCTGCTGGGAGCGCTGGTGTACCTGGCGTCCCCGCTCGACTTCATCCCCCGAGGGCGTCGTGGGTCTGCTGGGCTTCCTCGACGACTTCTTCGTCATCCTCCTGCTCTTCATCTACATCTCCATCATGTACCGCGAGGTGGTGACCCAGAGACTAGCCGGCTGACGGCCCGCGGTGTTCTGGCGAAGGAGAAGGGTTAAAGCTCATGAAGCTGTGTGTGTTCTCAGCACGACGCCGCAACAACGAGCTGGAGGACACACACACACAGTCTTAGTCTGTCAATCAAACGCGGCCGATTTCTGCATTCAAGAAAGGGATTCTGACAAATGGGAACTTGAATTACTTGATGATCTCTGACGTGTTACAAAGAGAAAACCGTGTTTTTACAATAAAACGCCTCCGTTCATCATCCTCATGTATAATCAGCTCTATATCTTTCTTCTCTTCTTCTTCTTCTCTCTTCTTCTTCTTCTTCTTCTTCTTCTTCTTCTTCTTCTTCTTCTTCTTCTTCTTCTTCTTCTTCTTCTTCTTCTTCTTCTTCTTCTTCTTCTTCTCTCTTCTTCTTCTTCTTCTTCTTCTTCTTCTTCTTCTTCTTCTTCTTCTTCTTCTTGACGAACAGGATCAGGAACATTACCAAATGCTCATGAAACTGTTCTCGTTCGCTGGTTCTGCGATCGACACGTGTTTATCTGGGCTTTGAGAAAACTGTTGTGTTTACAGTTTCTCAGTTTAAAGTCCCCATGAAATCAAAACAAACAATTCCTGTGTTTTTATTGGAATAATTCAGTGTTTATATTAAATGGTTTATGGGTGCACATCATTATTGTGTTAATAATGTTGAATAAGAATCAGTTCCTCTTGCAGCATCTCTTCTCTCCTCTGATGATGTGGGCGGGGCTATAACCTGTCACTCACATCAGATCAGCCAATAGCAAACCACAACCATCCAATCAACTCCCACAGACACAATCAAGCCCCGCCCACATGTGTTCTTGCTCCTGAAGCGTTTCACTCGATATACGACACGATAGAGGAGAAACGACCAGCGCAACTTCAGTTTCATGCCGAGTTTATCTGCTAATGTCTGCTCTATGGATGAGGCGTTCTGGTGTCGGCTCTCCTGTGCGAGGATCCGCCCCGAGTCTCCGTGTCAAGGGCATGTGTGTGTGATCCGCCCTGAGTCTCCGTGTCAAGGGCATGTGTGTGTGATCCGCCCCGAGTCTCCGTGTCAAGGGCATGTGTGTGTGATCCGCCCTGAGTCTCCGTGTCAAGGGCATGTGTGTGTGATCCGCCCCGAGTCTCCGTGTCAAGGGCATGTGTGTGTGATCCGCCCTGAGTCTCCGTGTCAAGGGCATGTGTGTGTGATCCGCCCCGAGTCTCCGTGTCAAGGGCATGTGTGTGTGATCCGCCCCGAGTCTCCGTGTCAAGGGCATGTGTGTGTGATCCGCCCTGAGTCTCCGTGTCAAGGGCATGTGTGTGTGATCCGCCCTGAGTCTCCGTGTCAAGGGCATGTGTGTGTGATCCGCCCTGAGTCTCCGTGTCAAGGGCATGTGTGTGTGATCCGCCCTGAGTCTCCGTGTCAAGGGCATGTGTGTGTGATCCGCCCCGAGTCTCCGTGTCAAGGGCATGTGTGTGTGATCACACACCCAGATAATCCTCTTATGAACATAAGCATATAATCAGGGGCTCCATGAAGAATGTGATACTGTCACAACACTAGCGCTTGATTCTGAGGTTTTCTTGTAAAAGGTGTGTGTGTCTGTCTGTGTGTCTGTGTGTGTCTGTGTGTGTGTGTCTGTCTGTCTCTGTGTCTGTGTGTGTCTGTCTGTGTGTGTGTGTGTGTGTGTGTGTGTGTCTGTCTATTTGTCTGTCTCTGTGTCTGTCTGTGTCTGTCTGTCTCTGTGTCTGTGTGTGTCTGTCTGTGTGTGTGTGTGTGTGTGTGTCTGTCTATTTGTCTGTCTCTCTGTGTGTGTGTGTGACCAGCAGGGGGCAGCAGAGGCGCGTAGGTCTCGTGATTAAGCTCCGCTGCCACTGAGCGCTCCATCGCTTCTCCAGGGAACGAGAGGCTTCGGCAGGAAAATCTCTAGAATGCGTTTCGGGAGTGATGGGAGATTTCATCCTCTAATCTTAGTAAAGCCTCATTTCACTGTTTCAGCTCTTTAAAATCATATTTGAAATCTTATGATGTCGTGTTCAGCCTCTATTGGCTTTTGCTTTGATAAAATAATAAAAGAGCTGAATGCTTAATAAATAATTCCATGTAGGACTAGTGTTGCGTTGCAGCAGGATTAGCATTATTTAAGTGTTCATGTCAGTATTATTATCATTAACCTTAACTAAAACTATTAATAAATATTTTTGTTAATTGGTGAAAGCTGAAATAAAATAAATAAATAAATATTAGAAATGTTGTCATGGCAAATATGAAAATTACTGACAAAAAAATAATAATAATTTAGAAATATAAAAAATAATAATTGACAAAAGCACATGAAATAGCCATGATGTTTGAGCTGTGTGTACATGCCTGGACACAGTGCCATGCGTGACCTCTGACCTCAGATCAATCCTACAGGTAATGCATTCTGGGAAATTAAGTGTTCTTCAGTGTCGCAGAAACTGCCAAACCGCGCTGTCATTCAAAGTATGTCTTTAAAAAAAAAAAACACTTATTGGAGTTATTGAATTGGAATTTTTGAATTTTGTTTAGATTTCAGTATTTTTGTATTGTACTTCCTTAATTCAACCTCAGGGTTAGAATTGTAATTCGAAAAGCATTTTTTTGTGAATTGTGGGTGTGTGTGGTGCTGATTCCAGCCGTTACCCAGCATTCACTGCATGAGCTGCGACGGCTCTGGTTTGTGTCAGTAATGAGTGTGTGTATATGTGTGTCCGTAATGAGTGTGTGTAGTAATGAGTGTGTGTATGTGTGTGTAGTAATGAGTTGTGTGTATATGTGTGTCATAATGAGTGTGTGTATATGTGTGTCATAATGAGTGTTTAATGCGCTCCAGTGGACGCTTGTAAATGTCAGTGATCAGGGAGTGTTACGGGGCCTGATATCATGATCCCTGCGCTCGTCTTCAGTGTGTGTGTGTGTGTCCTGCGGTTACAGGCCTAGGCCAAGATGCATTCACTCCAATCAGAAGTGACGTCTCCAGCATGTTTGCTCGTGTGTGTGTATCTGTGTGTGTGTGTGAGAGAGAGAAGAGAGAGAGAGAGAGAGAGAGAGAGGAGAGAGAGAGAGAGAGAGAGAGAGAGAGAGAGAGAGAGAGAGTGTGTGTATGTGTGTGTATAAGTCAAGTCACCTGTATTTGTATAGCTTTTATTACAATACTGATTGTTTCAAAGCAGCTTTACAGAGATAACAGGAAAATAATGGATTTCGTCTGTTGTTCAGCTGAAGTCACTTCAGTGTTCAGGATCCGGCGTTGTGGTCGTGTCTAGGCGCAGGTCCTCCATCTGATCTGGATACGGCCCGGATCCGGCTGACTACATCATGCGTTGTGGTCGTGTCTAGGTGCAGGTCCACCATCTGATCTGGATACGGCCCGGATCCGGCTGACTACATCATGTGTTGTGGTCGTGTCTAGGCGCAGGTCCTCCATCTGATCTGGATATGGCCCGGATACGGCTGACTACATCATGCGTTGTGGTCGTGTCTAGGCGCAGGTCCTCCATCTGATCTGGATACGGCCCGGATCCGGCTGACTACATCATGCGTTGTGGTCGTGTCTAGGCGCAGGTCCTCCATCTGATCTGGATATGGCCCGGATACGGCTGACTACATCATGCGTTGTGGTCGTGTCTAGGCGCAGGTCCTCCATCTGGTCTGGATACGGCCTGGATCCGGCTGACTACATCATGCGTTGTGGTCGTGTCTAGGCGCAGGTCCTCCATCTGATCTGGATACGGCCCGGATCCGGCTGACTACATCATGCGTTGTGGTCGTGTCTAGCCGCAGGTCCTCCATCTGATCTGGATATGGCCTGGATCCGGCTGACTACATCATGCGTTGTGGTCGTGTCTAGGCGCAGGTCCTCCATCTGATCTGGATATGGCCCGGATACGGCTGACTACATCATGCGTTGTGGTCGTGTCTAGGCGCAGGTCCTCCATCTGATCTGGATACGGCCCGGATCCGGCTGACTACATCATGCGTTGTGGTCGTGTCTAGGCGCAGGTCCTCCATCTGATCTGGATATGGCCCGGATACGGCTGACTACATCATGCGTTGTGGTCGTGTCTAGGCGCAGGTCCTCCATCTGGTCTGGATACGGCCTGGATCCGGCTGACTACATCATGCGTTGTGGTCGTGTCTAGGCGCAGGTCCTCCATCTGATCTGGATACGGCCCGGATCCGGCTGACTACATCATGCGTTGTGGTCGTGTCTAGCCGCAGGTCCTCCATCTGATCTGGATATGGCCTGGATCCGGCTGACTACATCATGCGTTGTGGTCGTGTCTAGGCGCAGGTCCTCCATCTGATCTGGATATGGCCCGGATCCGGCTGACTACATCATGCGTTGTGGTCGTGTCTAGGCGCAGGTCCTCCATCTGATCTGGATATGGCCCGGATCCGGCTGACTACATCATGCGTTGTGGTCGTGTCTAGGCGCAGGTCCTCCATCTGATCTGGATACGGCCCGGATCCGGCTGACTACATCATGCGTTGTGGTCGTGTCTAGGCGCAGGTCCTCCATCTGATCTGGATACGGCCCGGATCCGGCTGACTACATCATGCGTTGTGGTCGTGTCTAGGCGCAGGTCCTCCATCTGGTCTGGATACGGCCTGGATCCGGCTGACTACATCATGCGTTGTGGTCGTGTCTAGGCGCAGGTCCTCCATCTGATCTGGATATGGCCTGGATCCGGCTGACTACATCATGCGTTGTGGTCGTGTCTAGGCGCAGGTCCTCCATCTGATCTGGATACGGCCCGGATCCGGCTGACTACATCATGCGTTGTGGTCGTGTCTAGGCGCAGGTCCTCCATCTGGTCTGGATACGGCCTGGATCCGGCTGACTACATCATGCGTTGTGGTCGTGTCTAGGCGCAGGTCCTCCATCTGATCTGGATCTGGCCCGGATCCGGCTGACTACATCATGCGTTGTGGTCGTGTCTAGGCGCAGGTCCTCCATCTGGTCTGGATACGGCCTGGATCCGGC